CTACCACTACTACCGCCACCACCACCACTATGGGAACTGCGGGCCATTCTTCGTCTCGCGTGCCTGCAATGCCAAGAGCAAGGCTGTTGACCGGAACCTCCGTCTTCCAGAGAATGGCCGACTCACCTGACCGTCTGAGGTGCATGGACTGAATAGAGTTCTGTTAGAGTGTTCGGCGTGGAGGTGCGAAGTTGCTCCCACTGCCACTGGGGTACACCGTACACTTTGCCATATGGTCCACAACAACGCGAACTGATGATTGGATTCAGTAATGGCAAATCAAGGTTCGAGTCGTGCAAGATGGCCCGAGACCTCCTAGAGAACCGCGGTCTGCTTGCGTTAAAGTAGCGGCTGTAATTCTAAAGGTGTTGGCACAATATCTCGGGACCCTCCTTTGCAGATGATACTCGCAGCCAGCAGTTGCAAGCGGGATGACTTTGGAGGTGTATTCTACGGCTTAGGGCTTAAGCATGCTTACACCTAAGTCTTTGCAGGGACCCCATGACCGGTGGGGCTTGAACAATACGAACTCTCTGGACGCTCAACACTTACAAAAAAAACCCTAAACCTATACACCCGAAACCTAAACCCGCAATAGCTATGCCAGGTCACGCATGCCGGGGCTGGTTCCAACCTTGGAGTGGCAACGATCGTGGCTCAAAAGGGTTGAAGACAGTTCTACCGTGTTCTACCATAAGGATACCGCTGCCAGGCCGGGCTTAAAATGGGGGCTTATGGTACAAGCTCTTACATGTTAAACCCGCCCCCAACTTTCCACGGGCCCGCGACCCGCGCGACCCCCGCGGTTTGCAACCACAATGTCTGCATCAGGAGTTAGGGTTTAGGGGTTTAGGGCTTGCTTTGCAGCCAGCTGCGGTTCCGGCGTTCGCCGGCGGAAGGCGCAGTGGGCTGCCGCCAGACCTCCTGCTGAGTCGGATGCTGCGCGGGTCCCCGACACCCCAGAGTGCCAGAGAGTCCACAGAAGCGTTCAGAAAAGTTTAGAGTCCCCGTAGAAGTTCGAGTAGCTACCTGAAATTGATGAAACCCGGCCTGTGCACCATGCAAACGTGACGTTTCTCCTGTCTGCTCTTGCTGTGGCCTTTTCCGCCGCGACCTTTGCCACTCGTCCTGAAACCCGCACACGGCCGCTATTCCCCAGGTAGTTCGCGGCACTACTACACCACCAGTTCCGGGTCCCCGTAAGACTAGATTACTATTGTTATTATGATTATGATCATGATTATTATTGTTGTTATTATTATTACTATTACTATTCTTGTTTTGTTATTATTATTATTATTATTACGATTAGTATCATTCTTATTATTATCATTATTGCTATTATTATTACTACTATTATTACTATTACTACCCCGGGAGTCAGATCGCGCGTTGGAGTTGCGGATTAAAGCTCTCGACAGCTTTGGTTCGGATGACCATCACGAGACATCAAAGTCCTACTAAATCCGGAACCCTAAACCCCGAACTCGAAAACGAAGACCTCGAAACCATAAAGCTAGAAACCTATATAATTTGTTGAGTTCAAGTTCGACGACATGGCTCAAGGTCTGGGGTCTAGCGGTTTACACAACACCCCATTATGCAAATCTATGGAAAACCATGGAATATGCCCACCAAAACCTGTAGTGGTGTTTAGGAATGAGGTCTTACGGGGAGAACCTGGGTTTCGAGCTTTACAGGGACATCTCTCAAATAATATAGGGGCCTTCATAATTAGAATAGGGTTTCGGGGTCTATTCTACTATAACTGTAATAAGGAACCCCCAAAAACCCTAATCCAATTACGACGGCCCCGATATTATGGGGGGCCGAGGGCCGAAGCATAGTCAGCTTCTGTTTCCAGGAGCCCTTCGCATCACATCGCAACCCCATCCCGAACCGCAATTTGAGGCTCTTTAGGGTTTAGGGCTTAGGGTTTAAGGCTTCAAGGCTTAAGGCTCTATAGGGTTTAGGGTTTAGGCTTCAAGGCGGCCTTGGACTATCCAAGCCAAGCTTCTGATAGCCAGATCCCGTCCGGTGGTTCACCTCAATTGCTCAGTTCGGGGCATGGAAGGATCAAACCCCTGAGTCCGCACGCTCGCAAAATCTCAGTCTGTCCCCTAAACCCTAAATCCTGAATATCAGTGGAGTGCCGTCTTCCCATCTCAACTAGAGAGCGCGGAAGCTTCCCTCTTGTCGGGATCAGGTAAACTCGAATCCCCGATCAGCCAGCGGCTTCCCACCCAAAACCCTAAGCCCAGAACCCTGTAAGCTTCAAGTGCACACCCAGAAAGCCTTCAGCAGGGACAGAGCGCCTTGAAGACACGATTCGAAGCCGCAGCCCAATAACTACCATGAGCAGACACGAGTTGGGGGTCAGGGGCTTATGGCCACTGTGAAAACGATGATGAGGACGGAGATGCTGCTGAAGCTCTCAATGAGAGAAAACCAAAAAAGCACCAACACTACCCAGCTAACGACAGCACCTGGCTTCGGTATTTGTCCTGGCCAGGCACACTCACCGGCCGGGCAGTCTGGTCGGTGCCGGTCGTAAAGAAGATGTTTACCGAAACCCGGCTTTGCGTGGGCCTGTGAAGAATTCAAGGTTGTACCCTAAACCCTAAACCCCTGAACCCTAAACCCCTAAACCCTAAACCCCCTAAGGAATGGAATCCTCAACCCTGATAAGGCAGCCTGAATATATACGCAACGCATAACAACACTGTTCCCTGAAAGGTCTTTATTCCGAGCCTACCCCAAACCCTAAACCCTAAAACCCTAAAACCCTAAACTCCTAAACCCTAAACCCCTAGACCCCTAAAACCCTAAAAACCCTAAACTCCTAAACCCTAAACCCCTAAACCGCCTAAACCCTAAAGCCCTAAACTCCTAAACCCTAAACCCTAAAAACCCTAAACTCCTAAAACCCTAAACCCCTAGACCCCTAAAACCCTAAAACCCTAAACTCCTAAACCCCTAGACCCCTAAAACCCTAAAAGCCCTAAACTCCTAAACCCTNNAACCCAAGACCTTAAACTAAACCCGGAAAATCGAAACCTTGAGTCCTGAAACCCCAAACCTTAACTTTAACTCAAATCCGATTATCGGCCCTAAGCCCCTAAAACCTTAAGCCCCTAAACCCTTAAGCCCCTAAACCCTGAACCCCTAAACAACTAAACCCCTAAACCCTAACCCCCTAAACCGCCTAAACCCTGAACCCTGCTCTGATAATGCCCCTCCCTCTATCTAAACCGGAAAGCTTGAGAGTTTCCCTTGTACCGGTAGAGGTTTAGGGTTTAGGGTTTAGGAGTTTAGGGTTTAGGAGTTTAGGGTTTAGGGTCGGGCATCAGTGGCTCGAGAGGCGTAGCTGATCGCCTTAATCATTCTAGGCGGAATCTAGGCAACACCAGGGTTGCAACGGGCTTTATTCTCTTGTTGTAGCACGGCTTCTGTTGTTTATCGGTAGACATTACTTCGGTGTAGTCTTTAGACATGTGGTGTTTTAGGGCAAGTTTTGGGGGCTTGAGGCTTGGGGGCTCAGAGTTGTGGGCTTTGTGTTTTGCTTGCGTCTTGGGCCGCGTAGGGGAGGAGGTTGCATCACGATGGGCTGAAACCGACCCTACATCCGCATATCACCACTTGGTTCCCCGTCCCTCGACTGTAGCATGGTACAGGCCTCTCAACAAGAACATGAGAGCAACACTCAAGCAGGACCGTGGCCTTGCAACGTCGTCTGAACTTGGACACTGACAGGATTGTCAGATGTGGCGTTCAATGTACAGGACTGAGCAGTCTGAGGGCATGAACTACATAAAAAGGTAGGATTTTCGGAATGCTGCGGAACACCTCGAAGGCGTTCCCCAAAACCCTAATACAAACCCGGAATGCCCTAATCCCAAAACCCGAAACCCGAACTTTTCCTTCAATCCCTGAACCCCTATAAACCCCCTCACAAACCCCCTAACAAACCCCCTATAAACCCCTATAAACCCCTATAAGCCCCTAAGCCCTGAACCCGAAGATGCTTGACTCTACTTCACCACCCACCCCTATACCTGGGCCAGACCTCGAAACCTCAGACCGCCTAGGGTTTAGGGTTTAGGGTTTAGGGTGTAGGGGTTTAGGGTTCAGGGGGGTACTCCAATAACCTAAGAAAGCCTGCAACGGATTTATGGTTTAGGGCTTTAAGACTTTAAGGGTTTAGGGCTCAGGGGTTTTAGGGGTTTAGGGCTTTTAGCGTTCAGGGTTTGGGGCCTTAGGGCTTAAGGCAGAAGCCTGCAAAGTTTCTGGGGGCTTCCGAAAATAGGGGACCCTAACATAGCACCCTATATAGTAGGATCCTTATTATAAGGACCCCAAATAAGGCACCCCTTAGTTTCGGAAACTCCCATACCCTAAACCCTAAACCC